TGGTGTACCAGTCGCTAGGGCTAATTGTTTCCATGAATTTTGGTTTTCTTCATTCTTCTTTGTTCTGGATGAGGAAAGACCCATAGTTCCATCTGGATGGCAGCTTGCTAGCTTTTAAGATCCCAGTCGTTACTTGCCAAGGTAGGAGGTGGAACAATTTTTTGTGTAGTATGTTATGCCAATTGAGCGTTATGCCCCCTGTGACTATGGTCCCAAGCCCACAGGTTCAACTACTCGGTCTCTCTGGGTAGCTGGCTGTGACCAAGCAGTGGCCACAACCTTTTCCCTTGTCAGCTCTACTATACACCTGGGAATTCTGATCATTTACTTAAACTTGTAGGACCATTGTCTGCCAACCCTATGTATGTACTTGGATACACTCCCCATTTCATAGACATACCTAATCGTACAGCCTGTCCACTCATCTATCCATCCATATACCCATGTTTGCCTTCATTGACAATGTTTAGAGGAATTTTTATAAAACTTTTTGAATGTCCTCCTCTGATTCATTCCTGTGGGATTACTCCCTCCAGTTTCCAGTTGCTGTTTAGGCTTGCAGTCCACCCTCAGATTCTTTAGCCCAGTATGCCTGCCATTTTCTGCTTCTGTTGTATCTCTTGTGCTCCACACAAATTGGAGTGTGCCCTCAGATATCACCAAGGATGCTTCTCTTACGGGCCATATTCCTTCCAGTTTCTCCATATTTTTGTTTTCCATTGCCTAAATAGTTGTTTTATGTATTTTATCCAGAATGTACAGTTGTTACTGACTGGAGGATTAGTCTACTAATCCTGACTGGAGGATATAAGCTACTCTGCTATTACATCAGTGGTCTATTGTGATTTCTTTCCTAAGAACAGAATCTTATTTTTTTTTAATTGTGATTTTCGTGAAAGTCTACAAAGCAAATACACATTTTGTTTCATGACATTGATTGCAGTCCCCTTAATGTAACAGCTCTCTTCCCACTCCCTCCTTGTAGTTACCCTTTCCCTGTGTCCTTCTTTCCTATGCATTCTTGCCTTCTGTGCTGTCTTCCTGTGCAAATACTGCCCTTGTGGTCTCCCATGGTTGATTGTGCTAAGGAGCAGATCTACCTGGTGTAAATGTTCAGTTTTTACACCTGTCTGTTGTTTGGCTGGAAGACACAGTACTGAGTTCAGTTCCAGGTCTGAAGGGTGAGTAGAAGCCATAGTCTCAGGGAGTTTTTCCAGTCTCTATCAGACCAGTAGGCCTGATTCTTTTTATAAGCAAAATATTTTATTAATGCTAATTATCAACAGTTTATTTATTTCCTTACTGAATGGAGACTTTTGTGTGTAGGCTTATTAAAGCATGATATGATTTTTATATGTAATCAATTAGAAATTTTTTTAAAAAATCTTTATGGAAGCAGACTGCCTCATTTTTCTCCTGCAGAGTAGCTGGTGGGTTCAAACTGACCTTTTAGTTAGTAGCAAAATATCTTATCTATCCACCAGCCACTCCTTGGAAGGAAGATGGGGCAATCTACTTCTGTAGTGATACTGCCTCGGAAACCCAAGGAAGGGTCGCTGTGAGTCGGGTCTGACTCGACGGCACATAACAACAACAACAACCGTGCTACCAGAGTTCCTCTGATTCATTTAGGGAGTTTGTTAATAAAGATCACTTTCTGTGTTTCTTCACATAGTTACAGGAGCAAATAAGTTCAATAGTGCTTGAATATCTTTTTAATTACATAACTAGAAAACTTGTTAGTCACAAATATATTTGGATATTCAGTTTATTTTAGACTATTACTTCAGTAATTTGCCTGTAAGCAGACTGAATCTACCTTCTTTTTAAAATATTATTTTTTTAGTTGTTTCTATATAATACTAGTGTTCAATTTCAGTGTGAAATGTTCCCTATCAATTGAATTGAAAATACCTGATAAAGAAGGGGTTAAAGTGGTTGATAATCCAATGTCATGCTAAATTACATGTCGAAAGTAATGTGTAAATGTCAAAAGTGCATTTACAGTACTTTGCTGACTTCAGAATCTCCTCCCCTATTTGCCTCTTAGCCCTTTTCAAGATTCTAAGAATATATACCTGGAGAACCTCTGGCTTCACATTTATTTCAGTAGAAATCCTACCAAAATTAAAGAATCCAGCTCAAATTTTACCTAAGTTAGAAGTAGTGTCTTCTTACTATGACTTTATATAGCACATATTCAGAACCATTATATACAAGATGTAGTTAAGTAGTTCCATATATATGTTTGATATCCTCTGCCAGTTTTAGGTTATTTTCTGGGAAGGACCACCGTTTATTTTTTGAATACTGCATTATGTGCCTTATACAAAGCAGGCAACTATATATATATTTTTAAGTATGTGAGAATGACTAAAATTTTGTTCTTTTATCTCAATATTTGTGTAATCTGCCAGGGCTGAGTTCTATTATTACAGCTCACCATTAGATGTTACTTTCTAATATATCTTATATTCTTACCAATAAATTCCTTATTATAAGGCTTACCAAATTCTGAAAATTTCTCATTCTTATATGAGTGCTTTTAAACTGAGAAATTTCTGTACATTTTCAAGTGGTTATTTAGGAGCATTCATAATTTTTATTTTTATTATATTATAGTTAAATATCTAAGTTTTTCAGAATGAAGTACTATAATCTTTAAAACTTGAATGCTGGCTTTTTTTTTTTTCTAGTTCTTTATGGAACAAGGATTGGAACTATTAGCTGTAGGTAGTGGAAAGAAGTAGGAGATTCAGGAATAATCTTAAATGTGTGATTCAAAATAATTAGCAGAGGCAGTTCCCAAGTTATAAAAGAGATCCATTCCTAAGTGTGTGTTTAAGTCAAATTTGTAGGTAAGTCAAAATAGGTACATACAATTTTAATTAAGTTTGCCATGAGTGCAAGGGTCGGAGCTTCTTCAAGGATTTAAAAGACACATGTGCAGGAAGTGAAGGTGACTGAGATGAAGAATTTATTGCTAATATGGGTTGGTTCAGTCAGTTCAAAATGAGGGTAAATTTACATAACATTAAAGGGCACATACAGTTGTCCATAAGTTGGAAGCTTTTAACCCAGGGACTTTCTGTAGTGTAATTCTGAAAAACATCATCTTATTCCAGGAGCCTAGTGGACTCCAAACTCACCACAAATGAGTCTCTGAAGGTGAGCTTTGGTGGCAACTACTGGTTTTATTCGGGTTTGTCAGAAAAGAGGACCCAACTGACTTGTCTGTGAAAAGAGATGTAGAGCTAGAGAAAATGAGAATCATATGGCTCTATTGGCCATCATGGAACACAGTAAAGTGTTAAGAATAAGTTTCCCTCACTGAGTCTCTTCCTTTAAAGATAAGTAAGATCAGGACAAGGAGAGTTCAGAAATTCCAGAAGATTTAATGTATACCTTATATTTAAGGGCTACCGTTTGAAATTTAACATTGTAACCTTTATAATTCAGAAATTATATGATTCATTGGTTCCCAAATGCTGGGATTCATGATGAAAGAGGTAGTCTATAGTGGACTTTCAATAGGCCTACAACATTCCTAATAGACAGATCCCCCAAGCTGAGTTAAGAGGGTTTTAAGATGTGCAGCCCCAGATGTGTGGTATGGTTAGTGCATATGGTGTTCTTCCCTTAATACCATTATGAATCAGACATCAAGCCTGTAATCCCCTGTTTATTTCCCAGTCTTTCCAGAGACAACTGGAAAATTATCTGGCGGTATGGTGATTCTTTTTTCCTCAGTTCACCCAGATTATTTAAATTTGAATAAAATAGCAATTTTTTCTCTAACAAAAAACCAAAAACCAAACTCACTACTGTTGAGTCAGATCTGACTCATAGCAACCACTCCTTGGGTTTTTGAAGCAGTGTGTCTACGGAAGTAGATTGCTCAATCTTCCTTCCGAGGAGTGGCTGGTGGGTTTGAACCGCCAGCTTTTTGGTTAGCAGTCAAATGCCTTAGGCATAATAAATAGCCCTGAGAACTAAAACTAATCTAAGAACTTGAACATTTCTAATAACTAATGACATTTCTAATAGAGTTACCTTGGAACTAACCCTATCATGTATTTCCTCCTTATGGTTTTGTAAAAGAAAAGAAAAACAATGTGTTTCCATTTATCAATATCTGTATATGAAACTGAATTTTTAAACCATAACTATACTGAACTAGTAATCCCTGTGTGGAGCAAATGGTTTTGCATTTGATTAATTGCTGAAAAGTTGATGGTTCAAACCAACCCAGATGTTCCTTGGAAGAGAGGCCTGACAATCTGCTTCAGAAAGGTCGCAGGCTTGAGAACACTATGGAGCAGTTCTCCTCTTCCCACATGGGGTCACCATGAATTGGAATCTACTTGATGGCAAGTAGCAACATCATAATAAACTAAAATACCAAATAATTGTTGTTGTTGTTGTTGTTATGTGCCCTCGAGTTGGACCTGACTCATAGCGACCCCTCCTTGGGTTTCCGAGGCAGTATCACAAGGGAAGTAGATTGCCCCATCTTCCTTCCGAGGAGTGGCTGGTGGGTTTGAACTGCCAGCCTTCTGGTTAGCAGTAAAGTGCCTTAGCCACTATGCTACTAGAGCTCCCACCAAATAATTAGGACATTTTAATTTTTTGAATTACTTTATCAAATTACACACTATACTATCAAAAATGGAACAAATTTTATTTTTTAATATATGTTTTAGAATATAATATAAACTTTTTTTGATATATTAGTATAAGCAGTCTACTTACGCTGCTTGAGAATACTGTTCTAACTTTTTCATTATAAAATCATTCTTTTATGAAGTAATGAAGTGAATAATAAGTTTTAGGAAGTAATTGGGGATATGGATGGTAGAATATAAAATGAAAAGTTGACAATACTAAATTGGTATAATCCCCAGAATCAAATCAAGAGGTACTGATAACACTGCTTATATTGATAATCCATGTGTGATCCATGTTTTTTTCCTTTGTTTTTGTATATTACTACAGCTAAAGAAGTAAACAGGTCATGGCACGTTTAACAAAAAGACGACAGGCGGATACAAAAGCTATCCAGCATCTTTGGGCAGCTATTGAGATTATACGGAACCAGAAGCAAATTGCCAACATTGACCGTATTACAAAGTAAGTAAATTTAAGCAAAAATATCTGTCAAATTTTATAAGACACTATGAAAAAGTAGTCCAAAGATAATTTATTTCTTATGCTGATTAATATATATTAAAAAGCACTGGTCACTTTTAGCTTTACACAAATACACAGTGGTTACAGAAACAAATACAAAAACATACAACCAATTTGTGTTTAGAAGTTTTATAAATAAATGATAAATAGTATGCATTGTTATTATACTTTTCCAAATAAATATTATATAAGTATAATAACAATACATACTATTTGTTATAGTTTCTTAGTAATTAAAAAAATGTAGCTCTTGGAAACAAGTCTGTATTTGTTGTATTAAAAATGTTATTAATTTATGAATTGCTTTTATCTTATGAAATTATCTAAAAGCAATCTACTTTCCATTATTCATTTTATACAGAAGAAATATAGTATGTATAGTAACATCTTACTAGTTTATAGCCCACTACCTAAGAATTTTTAACACTTTCATTCTATATTTTAGAAGTTATTATAAATAAATATTCAGTTTTTAAAAAAGTGCATTTTAGTTTAGTTTTTTTTTTCTAGTTTCAAATTCTATTTAGTAGACAAAGATTCTGGATAGAAGAAAATAAACTATAAATATTTCATTTATGTGCTGTATACTTTATTATAAAGGAGGGCTAATGGCACAACAGTAAGACGTTTGATCACTAAGTAGAAGGTTGGTGATTCAAACCTATCAGCCCTGTGGGAGAAAAACTTAGTGATCTGCTCCTGCAAGGATTACAGCCTAGAAAACCCTGTGGGGAGGTTCTACTCTGTCACATGGGGTCATTATGAGTCAGAAATCCACTTGATGGCAACTAATAGCAACAACAACAACACATTATGACGAAGCCTTAAAATGGGAAGTTTTTTATATTTGTTTCTCCAGGTATTTTTAAAGGAATAAAATGAAATCTATCATTTTTAAAAGTTTGGATATTTTTAATTAATTTAGAATTTCTTTAAACCTATCATTCCTCAACATTATTTAGATGCTATCTATAAAAACAGAAGAGATAATTTATAAGCCCTTGTTTAAATAAATGCTTGCATCATTCTCTGATAAAATTTTGTTCCCTGTATTAATAAATAACAAAATTATGTATCTTATATATGTATTTTTCCTTTTCTATATTCTGGTGAAAAAGATTATATAGGTTACTTAAAAGGGTAGAAAGAGAAAATTGAGGATAGTGTATGCTGCTTTAATTCTATGTTTACCCTTTGAATATTTTAAAGTTGACCATGTACAGCTTCTAACTCTTACAGGCTAATCACAAGGAAAAAAAATTGGACAAGGTAGATAATCTATTAATAGAAAGAATAAAATGATGCATTATTTAATTACTGTATTAAAACAGTTAGTTTGAATCATGGTGATTATTTATGTTACAGTGAAGTAATGTTGGTATAAAAACATTTTTAAAAATCTCAAAAGAATAAGCAGCAGAAAGTATTTTCTGGGGTTAGGGTTTGTATTTTTTTTTTTCTGGCTCCCTGCTACCCCATGGGAGATTTCATCACCCAAAACTTGGTGGCTTCATATAGTCAAATTCTACCTGCCACCCCAAAGGAAGACTTATGCCTGCATTACCCATCCCTGTCTTCATCCTTCCACTTATGGAAATGCCCTTGAAATGCCCTTTACTTTGCTTCTGGAAATCCCATTTTCCATCGGGACTCACAGCCTCTGGAAAGACTTAGTCACGTCCCTTCCCATTTTTTTTTTAATGCATTTTATTGAAATATAATTTATTTGTAGTGAAATACACAAAACTAAACTGACATGGGTCAATGTGTGTGTGTGTTTTTTTTTTTTTTTTTGCAGTGTTCCATCCCTTCCCCTCCCACCTCTGGTAACTAACAAAGTTCCCTTCCATATATAAACCTTTCTTGGACTTTTTACAATAATGAACTAATACTATACTTATCCATCTGTGATTGACTTCTTTCACTTAGCATAATGTCCTCCAAGTTCATCCATGTTATGCATTGTTTTGCAGATTCTATGTTATTCTTTAGGGTTGCACAGTATTCAATTGTGTGTATGTACCACAGTTTGGTTATCCATTCTTCTGTTAATGTGCATTTAGGTTGTTTCCATCTTTTTGCTATTGTAAATAGTGCTACATGAACATGGGTATGAATATATCTGTTCTTTTGGCTCTCAATTCTTTTTTTTTGTTGTTGTTGTTTAAATACATTTTATTGAGATATAATTTATGTACAGTGAAATACACAAAATTAAAGTGACATGGGTCAATGCATTTTTTTTTTTGCAGTGTTCCTTCCCCTCCTCTCCCACCCCTGGCAATCAACAAAGAAAGAAAGTTTCCCACCATATATAAACCTTTCCTTGACCCTCCATAACAACAAACTAATACTATATTTGTCCTTCTGTGATTGGCTTATGACACTCAGCATAATGTCCTCCAGGTACATCCATATTATGTGGTATTTTGCAGGCTCTACATTATTCTTTAGTGCTGCATAGCATTCCATTATACGTATGTACCGTAGTTTGGTCATCCACTCTTCCGCTATAAATTTTAGAGATAAGTCCCTTGCCAGATATGTAATTATTGGCAAATATGAATTTGTTGCTGTCATTTTTGTTATGTGCTTTTTCGTGGTGTTGATTTCTTTGTTCCATATAATTTTTTATGCTGAGCTTCCTTTATTTATGAATAGTGTTATCACTTCCTTCATTGCTATTGTTTTAATATATGCTGAATATTTATGGTGGTCCTCTTTTTTGATGTGAAGGTTTATCATTTTTGTTTGAGGTTGCCGTGTGATTTATAGTTTTCTTCCCAAGTTTAGAACAGTCTGTTCTATCTTGTGATTGTCTTGACTTCTTTACCATCTAGAAGTTTTGTGACAACACAGTTTTTTCCCTCTTTATGGTTTGTAGTTATCCTCATTTGTCAATCGATGTCTCTGGTTCTCGTTTTACAATCTTGTAGCCTTATTTACTTTAGATACTTCCATAGTCTAGGTTATATCATCATGTGTGTTAATGGTCAGTTGTTGTTGGCTCTTGTTGCTTCTCTATCCAAAGGGTTCCCTTTAGCATCTCTTGTAAGGTTGGTCTGGTTTTAACAAATTCCATTAATTTCTGCTTATCTGGAAATATTCTAATTTCACCATCATATTTGAGGGACAATTTTGCTGGGTATGTAATTCTTAGTTGGAAATTTTTCTCTTTCAGGGTTTTATACACACCATCCCATTGTCTTCTCGCTTACATAGTTTCTTTTTTTAATTGTGATTTGGGTGAAAATTTACAGAGCAAATATACTTTCCATACAGCAGTTCACATACACTTTGTCTCATGACATTGACCACAATTTACCACAATGCAACATCTACCTTCTTACTTCCTCCCGATAGTTATCTCTTCCTGTGTCCATCACTCCATGCACTCCTGCCCCCTGGGTTGTCTCCCTGTGCATAAGGAGCCCTTCTTTCTCTCATGCTTGTTCTCTCCAAGGAGTGTATCTACCTCAGGTAAATGTTCAACTCATATGCCTATCTATTGTTTGGCTGGAAGCCAGAGGCATGGGTTCAATTCCAGACCTGAAGGGCAGCTAGGGGCCATAGTCTCAGTGGTTCCACCAGGCTCTATTGGACCAGCAAACATAGTCCTCCCCTTTTTTTTTTTTTTTTTTATTTTGAGTTTTGTTTCACATGTTCTCCCTCTCTATCTAGGATCTCCCACATAGATCCCCTTCCAAGTGGTTGACAGTAGTAGCCAGGCACCATCTAGTTCTTCTGGTCTCATAGTCATATAGGCTGCAGATCAGATGGTGTACCAGTAGCTAATACTAATTGTTTCCATGAAGTTTTGGTTTTCTTCATTCTTCTTTGCTGTGGACGAGGAGAGACCCATCGTTGCATCTAGATGACAGCTTGTTTTAAGATCCCAGTCACTACTCATCACAGTAGGAGGTGGAACAGTGTTTTGTGTAGTATGTTATGCCAATTGAGCTTGATGTCCTCTGTGACTATGGTCCCAAGTCCACAGGTTCAACTACTCAGTCACTCTGGGTAGTTGGCTGTGACCACGCCAGCCTTGCCCTTTGGCAGCTCCATTATATGCCTGGGAATTC